GGTAGGCCATATTGGCTTTTTTGGTTTTTTTATTTTCTTGCAAACATTTTTTTTTTTGTAGAAATCAATTAATTAATAATTCTAAAAAAGACTGTGATTATTTATTTTAAAAATACTTTATAATAAAAAATTTTATGTATTTAATAATTCTTTAGTTTTTAGCAGAAAATAACGAAAAAATAAATTGTTTGTCGATCGGAGAAATTCATTTGCCAAAAACTCCTTTTTTATAAGTAAATGTTTATTTTTTTTTGAACTAATTTTACAAGGGGTTGGGTTCGAACCCCAGCTCTAGGGGAGGGGAGAATGCACCATGAGTGGTTATTGTCATTTGACCCGAAGAGCTCGGTGCTAAGTAAATGTTTATTTATATATAAATTTTATATATTAATATATTTAAATAAAATTTTAATTAATTAATCATTTTTAATGATTAAAATTTATTTATTATTATATTTATAAAAATAATTATTTTTATTTAAAAATTATAATAAATTTTAATTATTAAAAATAAAAAAATAATTAAAATTTTATATAAATATAAATATTTTCCTTAGTATCTTGCTTGGCCACCCCAGCCGACAAAGATAATTCATGGCCTCAGTGCAATTTGTAAGTTCAAATACCTAAATAAGAATTTTGGTCTATAATATCTTGTCTTGAATTGATCTCCATTCGCCTTATGGTACTAACGAAAAAGAACCGACACTTTATATGTGGCGGACATTTTGCCTCGTGAGCTTGGATGGTTTGGTTTGGTTTGGTTTGTCCTGTGATTTCGTATTCGTATTTTTAAATAATAGTGACTGGGACTTGAACCGATAATCGGATAATAATAAATAAAATTAAAATTTAAGATTAAAATTTAAAATTAATAATATAATATAAATTATATTATTTAAAATGTTTAAAAATAAATTTTATATTATTTAATAATTATTTTTTTTTATTTTAAAATATAACTTTTAAAAATTTGCATGGCCATAACATTGCCCATCGGTACAAAAAAGGATATAGAATCTTTCAAAAAATCTTCTATTAAGAACATGACATCTTGTTTTCCTAATTAAGACTATTTTTATCAAAACTTCTAATTAAGAATACTCTGTTAGCAAAATTTCTGAAAAAATAAGTGGATATGCTAGATCACATTCTTGATTAGAAAATTTTAAAAGATAATAACCTTAATTAATAAAATAATACTCTCTCTATCTCATAATAATAATTTTTTTTGATTTTTTCTTTAAATTAAAAATTTAAAAATTATTTATATATTCACCTATATTACCAGAAAAGACTAAAAGATAAAATAAAAGTTTTTGTAATAAGATAATTAATCAAAATAAATAGACCATAATATG